CTCTCTCTCTCTCTCTCTCTCTCTCTCTCTCTCTCTCTCTCTCTCTCTCTCTCTTTCCAAATCGACCTGCACCTGGACTGTCGTAGGGATATACTTCTTCTTGATCACCCTCGTAAGGTCGGTTTGAATGATTGATTAATGATTTGAGCGAGAATTTGAGTAGATATTTTTGGATCTTGGCCCAACTTCTTTGAAATTTTCTGGGTTACTTTGTCTTTCAGGTTAGGTTTTAGGTTAGGTTGTGACGTAATATTATATACGGTTCTTAAATTACAAAGCGCAGAGGTTAGAATGATTAAGTGAAATAAAATTTGATCTCTCACAAAATAAATTATAAATCGTGCTATTGAATGCAAGAAGGATATCACTTTCTATATCTTTATAAAACGATAAATTATTATTATCGGCCAATTATTAATTTATACAATAAATATAACTTTTTGTCAGTTTTAAAAGTACAACAATAAAATTTATCTATATATGTAAAAAAAAAAAAAGAATCTAGAATCTAATTTATTTCACTCTTGCGAAATCCAACAATAGTCCAATTATTGATGCAAGTTTCGTAATTTGTCGGAAAGAAATTCGCGACTGTCGATAACGAAACAGAGCGATAAAGAGAGGGAGGGCTTCAAGATGGCCGATGAACGGAATCATGGCACGATATCGACTTGTGCCAGTGCGGAGAAGAAGGCAAGGATCTCTATTAGTTATTGGCAAGCGGAGCGAGATATAAATAACGAAGTCGCGATAAAAGCACGGGTCTCGATCGAGCCGAGCCGGCATCGATAATGATGTTGGCTGACAAGTTGCACCGCAGGTTGCACGCTGGTACCTACATAACCTACAACAGCCAATATTCCAGCCCCAGGGACCGCCGTGGTTCTCTCTAAAGGGGACTGCACACGGTAATGGAAAGGGTTGAATTGCTAGAATTACCGATATCGATAAATGATCGAACGAAAGTTTATGTTTCCAAGTTTTCAATTTAGAATCCGTATTTCTGTCTCTTTGATTTTTCGGTTCTTTTTTTCGAAATTTCGCTTATTCAAAGTTATAAAGATATAGAAATATAAGAATGATAATGTAAATAGCATTAATAAATAAAAAAATGATTTTCTTCGAAGATCAGTTATTTTAATATATTTTAATAGAAGTGAATGGAAGTAGCACAGTAGATGGTTCAAAGGTTGTTGGTTGACAATGAAGTCTGTGCAAATACGGTGTATGAAAGACAGGAATAAGGTAGACAGATGAAGTATCATCGTCGATTTGCTAAACGCAATGTCAATTTTATTAGCATTTGTGAAACGAGGGAATAATTCGAGGAATTTCGAATGGAATTCTAAGATAATTCATCGAACTAAGTGCTCCATCTTGATCGATTGTTCGACAGGTAACGATATTCGAGACGCGATGGCTTTCTACAAGACAAACGACTTGATACGGATAACAGATTTAGCAAAGTGAAACGAATTATTCATCGAAGTAACTACCAACCTAATTCTTTTATTTTTCCTGAATTTGTTAAATTATCAAATTATTACGTAAAATTCCTAGACTTCTGAATCTTTAAGTTGAAAGTAAATTTAAAAATTTCCTATTAGGATTTTTCTATTATATTCTTAAATTAAAAATTAAATCTCTAGAAAGGAAAAGCTATTTGTTCTATCTTTCTTTTCAAGCAAATTCCTAGATTCTTACATCACTAGAAATTAAGTCCCTAGATAGGAAAAGTTATCTGGTCTTTCTTTTCGAGCAAGTTTCTAGATTTTTATATTACTAGATTAGAAATTAAATTGCTAGATAGGAAAAACTATCCAATTTATCTTTTCGACTGTTTAAATTTATAATTTAAGAATTTTCCTATTTTGCGATTTTTATTATTATTTCTTAGGTTAGATCCCTAGAAAGTCTATCTAGTCTATTTTTCTTTCTATTAGCGAGTACCTCGAAAAGAAACTAGATGCTTACGCGTTATCAGTGTGGACAGACCTTTAGATGCATAAGGCCACGACTTCACGTGTATGTATATAAATTGGCCGGTCGCGGGCAATTCGCCCGATGCAAGGAGATGACCGCTTAAGAGGCTTTGA